GGGGCAGGCCGGCTGCTATCCCCAGGGGAGCCCCCAACCTGAACATTATCATATTCAGTTATCGCAATGGACAATGCTGCTCATACAACATAATAGTACTTCACAATTCTGATCATAGGCCTATCAGCATTACCTAATTAAATATTAATTATTTATAGTATCATCATACCACGGAATGATGTGAGGATTATTAAATACATAGCATTGAGTAGGACTAGTAGATCGCATTAGCGCAAACAAATTATGTTAGCATTCCGATTGTCATGGGTAAATAAAATTTATAAAAAGTGTACTATTCGATAGAAATGAATATATAGATTACTATAACTATAATCTTCATACAAACATTTTCAGGATATAATATTGTTTGAATGATTGATTGAATTTATTCGATGCCCAACATACATAAGCAAGATAACAAATGGATTGAGATCAAGAAAAGTAAAAATTACCGTATTGAGCATCAGGAACGCCCATTAAGCCGGAGTAGTCCAGCCCATTTCCAATGATGTCCAATTTAAATATACACTGTCTGTCTTGAGCTGAAAGATAAACAATTTAATTCCATAACTGAATAATTATATTTAAGTAAGTTACAAACTTACAATTAAATATACGAATGACAAAATAGTTTTCCTGTCAATTAACAGACAGTTAAGTTATACTAGTGCTATATTCTTATTTATACATAGACTCTTAAATTGGCTGTAGTGTCGATTTTGTAGTAAAGTGTTCGTCAAATTATAGGAAAAAATGAGAAAAATGTCGATAGGGGGTCCAACAATTCTGATCGGGGTCTAAAACAAGGGGATGACTATAGCCTTGTTCAGGGTCCCGGAATAAAATCCCTGGGGTGAGGTTCATGGGGAGAAATCTTACGGTACAGGATCGCCCATGTGATTTTTGACGAGGGAGTTGATGTTAATTTATACGTTATGGTAACTTAGACTACATGAGGAAGGCTAGTTGCGTTTCCAGTTAAAAATAATGTTTAGTTTACAGCAACATGTGCTACCAGGGATTTGTCAATCTCAGCTTAGCAAATGTCTTAAGTCAAAAAAGTTAAGATGTCCCTAAAGCAAATATCTTAAGCTGATTTATAAACAATCTTAGCAAAATCTTAGCTTAAAAATTGTCTTTGATGGCGCATGCGTACAGTCGACTTTTAAATTTTAAACATGAGATAAGCAATATTGATAAATTTTGACTGAAGACAATTTTAAGCCGATTTTTAGTTTGATATCTGGCCCCAGCATACCAA